GTCAGGAAAGTGAGGTTTCGAAGAAGGCTGTTTCCCCCGCCAATGTTCTTTTCACGGGAAATTGTCCTTTAGTAGTAGTGAAGGTGGGGAGGGGAACCTCGTTCAACGGCATACTCGGAACCGAGCTTATTTGTGGAAGCGCTACTCTAAACGGCCACGCTTTTTGGCCTGACGTTCGGCGTCTCTGACGTAGTGCTGCGTGTCTCCATGCTGTGGCAGAGGTGTTAGAACGGGACGGGACTCACAGGCTCAATAAGCAGAGCCTTTTCCCTTTGAAACTTTCAGAGTACTATAAAAATACAGTTGAAATGAAAAAGAAATGTGATGAAATAGAAAAGTATATGCTTTTACATGGGGGAAGGCAAATAGCAGAGCAGCTCTGAAAATGCAGCGCAAGCATTTGATCTGAATGAAATGAAAGGGTAGCCACAAGTAATTAAGAAATAATGTGGAAACAGTTGATTTAATTAAAAATTTTAAGGCCGTGTTTTGAGCATGTACCATATTTCCTGGCAAATAGGCTAAGCTCTGCTTGGACTGGCCTTGGGCATTAACATACAAGAAAACAGCTGATGCTTCCCAGAATTATGTAAATAAAATACTATTTTTCAGTAGTGCTATTACTTACTTGGATTTGTGGCCACTTACTTGCAATTCTGGCTATTACAGAGTAATATTTAGCTTTTATTGGAAAGGATCTGTCTGTCTTCTGCATCTGAGAGGAGAAATGATGATTGTGACGCTTCAGTTTGCACTGTCAGGCCTTTAATTAAAGGAGCGTAACTGATACAGGTCATTGCTCTGGATGACTGAATTTGATCCCTTCTCCTTAGAAAGGCAATATTAGGAATTTCTAATATATGTTTGTGAACCCATTTTCTTCTTTCTCATCAGTTCTGGGTTACCATGCAGATGTTTTTCATTTACCATTTTTAATTTAAAATTTAAAATGGAATATTGTCACCTACACATATTAATAAGCATTCCCCTTGTGTGCATCCCCACTCTGTTCTTGGTAACTTCCATTGCAGAACTACAGTAACTTACTAAAGAAATTTTGGGTTTTTTCTCTTTTTTTTCTTGTCAGTGTGGAGGCAACAATTAAATAGGTAGATGAAGGACTTCCGAAAGGTGTACAAAACTTGCATTAATGTGAAACAGTTAACTTCCATTCTCATTCTCCATTGAAATGTAATTATCTTTTTGTGTCTTCTGTTACTGTTGTGTAATCAAAGCCCTGGGAGGGAGAAGAAGCAGGGAAAGGAGAAGAGTGATTGGCAGGACAATACCAGATTTTTTTGTCAACTCTGTTCTGCTCTACTACTTTCGTAACTGGAATTAGAACAAATCCTTAATGCTTAAAGTAGGGTAATATGTCTGTATAAACAGAGCACCTTGAAAATTTGAAAATGTGAATAGCAAGTGAAACTAAGAAATTGTGTTATTAGGTGATTTCACTAAAGCTGTGTAGTGCACAGAAAGAGGTGCCACTGTCTTGGTTATCTTTTTTTGTGTGACTTCAGTAAGATGGGTTTATTTATGGAATTTTTGAAACGTATGCATACTTTAATGTTGATTAAACCAGTACTGGAGGCAAATCTCAGTTTTTTCCCACAAGTGGAAGCATCTCCTGCTTTCCAGAGAGATAAATTTGGTCATGTCTGTGAAAGAGGTATTTGTGTGCTTCATGATACCAAAACTTACAAAAAGTGTGTAGCTTTTTTGCCTGATATGTATGAGAATGGAAGGAGTTTCTACTGCATAAAAAGAAATTGTTAATCTTTTGCGATTAGGTAGCAAAAATAATAATTCATGGTGATTAAGGAAGAAGAAACTATGTGCTGTGGTTTGATGTTTCAGGATATAGACCTGTGGCCATAATTTCACAGTTAAAAATAAGTTTCTGAACACCTTCGTGAGTAAGGGCAGATTCTGAAAACAGAAGTTATTTTAAATAGTCAATGTCTCAGTTTCCTAAGGAAAATAAGACATATTGTCTCTTTGTTGCTACCATAGAAAATAAGGGGGAAGTGGCCGAGATAACTGCAGCAGAGTAAGGCAGGCACAATTTAAGGAACACAAACCACACAAGTAGAGGAACCTGCCCTTTCTTGTTCTGTATTTTGTGGAGCAGCTTACTTCTGCTGGGGCTTTTTGCTGATGTCTTTGTGGATTCTAGAGATTGGTTGTAAAATAAAATTTTGAATTTAAGGTGGTGAATGCAAACCACACTGAATCCAGGCTTTGTTTGTTTAGCAGTTGTGCAGGGTACTGCACTGTTCTAGCTGAAATCACCTTTAAGATACGTGCACCAGTTTTGCTTAGAGTGTTTGTTCAAGTAGTGGTTTAAAATGCTGACTTTGATGCTTCTGTGCTATAAAACAAATGCAGGATTTTAGGAGTTGTGTCTAAATTTTTTTACTATGGAAGTACAGACTTGATAAATGAGTTCACTCTTACAGAAGGGTAGCAAAAGCAAGTGTGCAGGAATGATGGAGTCACAGTAGAGACTTGGGAAGAGTCAAGCAAATTCAAATTCGGCAGTGATGTTTCTGATCTGCTAGAAAGAAAGTTAACGGTTTAGGAGAACTTGTTGCTCCTGATGCTATTGTATTTTAAGCTATTTCTGAGAGAGTTATGTATTGTGGGATTTTTAGCTTCCCACCCCTTTTGAGACTTCGTTTTTCCCCCTGTTCATGGGTGAAAATGGTTTTAATGCATGTCTGTACCTGTTCAGGGTCCAATGGGGATACAAAAAATTCAGAATACTTGAGAAGACTTCCTACTTACTTGAAGAAACTATTTTTAGATGGGGCTTTTTTAGAAGTTTCTTAAAAACTATATCACTTTTTTCACAGTTGTTTCTCAGTTACGTATTCTTCTGCAACTTAACTTGCAAAAATGTCTTTTTGTGTTGAAATGACAAAAACAATATGCAGCTTGTTAATGGGCAGCTTTAAGGCTTCAGAAGTAGATAGTTGGAGAGTGCTGATACAATCTGTGTTCTATTTATTAGCTGTGTGTGCTGTGCATTGTTAATTAATCCATTTTAGCTTGATAGCAAAATATGTTTTCTTTCATAGAGTGAAGATACGCAGCAACAAATTATCAGAGAAACTTTCCATTTAGTATCGAAACGTGATGAAAATGTCTGTAATTTCCTAGAAGGAGGATTGTAAGTATCAAGTTTGAAATAAATGCCCAATACTTTTTGGCTAGCAAATATTACTAGTGCTGATTATAACTGTAAAAACAGTTATATTATAATGTAATTTCCTTGAGACTTGAGATATTTTAGTACACAAAAAATAATATCATGTTACACCAGGTATACATATTCTTTACAAACTGAAGCATACTTTTTTTATATATATATGTGTGTGTGTATCAAAAAGAGTTAGGCCATGAAACTAATTTTTTCTAGTGCTGTAACTGACACAGTGCCATATCTAGTACAGTAGTTGTTTCAGACACAAGATGGGGAAGAAACAGGCAGATGATACCTAACGAGTTTTGCTATAATCAAGCTAAAGATTCTTCGTCTGATTTCAAGAGACAATGGTATTTGCCATACTCCACTGAGAAAATTAAATTATTTTGTAGTGCTTTATCTTGAGCTCCTAACACTTGAGTGGACAGTGTCTGGTAGTAGTATTCCTCAGCCTTTTTCAGGCTTGCTATATAAACTAGGAAGAAAAAAAATATGTTTTAAATGTGCTGACTAATGAAGTTTCAACCAAATTTTTTTTTATTAATATAGGTAGAGCAAGGTAGGAGGAAAGCCAGATTTACATCTTCGATCTCTAGAACACACAAAAAAAATATTCCGTCTTGAATCGTCTTGGTTGTTTATTAATGTGGTCTTGCTTTAGTTGAAGAGAAGAAATTCTGAAATGGAAAAGTGTTTTATTTTGAGATATTAGTCATCAAGAGTAAATAGTTACAAACCCACCTTCTAGGAAAGGGTTTACTCTGTCTAATTGATGGAGTAAGCTCATGATCTCCAGTCTAAACACAGAGATTGTCATAGCCTGTTAAAAATTGTAATTACGGAAATTTCTCATTACTGAAAATTCGTATTTTAATACCTAAATTTTCTGTGTGCAGAGTCAAGTTAAATGCTTAGCTGTACCATGTCAGATGGTACACAAAAGACCATGATGTCTTTTTCCTGATCAAGATGATTCCTGAATTTTTTATTTTACTATTTTTAAACTAAAATTTTTATCTTCCAGCTACTCAACTGGTCATTGTATCACGAGTTTTTTTGAGATTATTTCAAGCTGGAAACATGCTGGCTTGACTTCTGTAAGTGAAAGACAGAAGCCATTTGGAGGCTTTTAAAAAAAAATCACAGCTGTGCAACAAAAAGAAAATAAGACAGAGGACACCACTCTGGTTTTCCTCCTACTGCTCAATTCTGGAGTTACCATTTCAATACATTTTTTCAGGTTTGTTCTTTTCTTTTTTTAGGACAGGGATCACTTTATAGTTTGCAGTTTACCCAAAGGCCACAACAGTTTACATATACTAAATCCATGTACTGAAGTATTTGAAAGAATTGGGTAAATAAAGCACAAAAGAAGAAAATTTAATTGCCATTTCTTTCCACTTTCACGTTTGTTTGTAATACTTTTGTCTGATACTTCTTAAATGTAGTTCCTGCTCTTCAGGAACAAAGGGTTCCCCCTCCCCCCACCCAAGCATTAATGCATATCAATATGCTTAAACAAAGGTGACCTAAAAGATGTCTTGTTCTTTTTATTTATTTACATATTCTCTCCCTATGATAAAGGCAGAAAGTAACGGGATGAGTTATGATACAGCAAGCAGGTGGTTCAGTTCTGGTGCAGAATTAAGGAGGAATTCTGGATGTTCATAACCATGTAGGTTCAGGCTACAAAATATTTTGATTTCTATTTGAGTGGGCCTTCTGCTGCTCAAAGGAAATGTTGGGGATCTGAAGAACATCTCTTCTTATGATTTATGTACCTTCTTTGGGAAGGCTATAGCAGAAGAGTAGCAGGAAATGCCTGTTCAGACCTCTTCTCTTCTTGTTCAGTAATTTGATGATTAGTGAGACCATAAAAATGTAATTCCTTCTGTGACTTTAACATTGCATCACAAACTACTGATTGTAGTACAGTCTTATTTTTCAAGATATAAACACTTTGTAGCACAAAAGTGTTCTTAGTTATTAAGTGGACCATAAACCCGATTTAAGCCTTTTTCTGTAATCCAAATGCCAGTCTGCATTATAGTTTCCTTTTTCTGATGATGCTCCTCTGAGAGGACAGGGGAGGATTCATAGGCTTAAGATCTGTTAATCTGTAAACCAGATTATTCCCTGAACAGTGCCCACTAGTGTGTAATGGGAGTACATTTAATACCTGTTTTTTGATGAAATTGCATGGTCTGTTTGAATTTATTTTAATAAAAACGTGCATATGTTCATGTAATTACTATCCATATGGGTAACAATAACAGTGTTTGTGTGTTTAATGTAACTTGGGCTGTCTTGGTACTTAGTATTCTTCCGTTGTAATTGTATCACAAGATAAAAGCTGTTACATAGTTGGATTTGGGAAAGCTACAGCCAGCCATTAACAATAGACCTCCTATTAACTGAAATAACTGTGAGTATTTGCTCAGCTTATCCTGAGATGCTAATTAAGCTTTCCTGTTTTCTTTCTCATTTAGATTGATAGGTGGATCTGATAACAAACTAATTTACCGACATTATGCCACTTTGTATTTTGTCTTCTGTGTGGATTCTTCAGAAAGTGAGCTTGGCATTTTAGACCTCATACAAGTAAGTTTTTTTGCTGCTGTGTTTTTTTGGTAAGTGGAATTCTACTTCTAGGTACCTTAGAACTACAATATTTAGCTGTGTCTTTTTCTCTAATACTTGGAAGTGAAGGTGACTGTCAGTACTGAGAACGCACCCAAAGTGCTGAGTATTACTTTTAGATTGTTTGCTGTTTCCTGGACTGTCTTTGAAAAAGTTTCCCAAGTTGAGGAGAAAGTAAGGAAATGGTTTATTTGGAACCTACTCAACAATCAGCATCTGGTTTTTTCTGCAATTTTTCAGGGCTTTGTTTTAGCTGCAGCTAAATGTGGTGTAGTTCAACCATTTTCTAAACAAGTTTGGATTATGAGGACTTTGATACATAAAGCTCAGTGTATGTATATAAACACACATATGTATTCACTACAAATACATAATGGATTAACACATTCAAAATGTCTTTGGATGAAACTTTCCTTGTGGTTGATAGGATTTTGGTCAGATGTACCTTAGAAAATGGGTGCAAATGCTGCCCTAGGCATGTGTTCTGCACTGGGGGGCGGGGTGGGGAGAGGTGAGGAGAAAGAGAGCCAGGACAAGTTCTTTGTGGATCTCAATAAGAAGGGCTTGGCAACAAAATGACTTAATAAGATAACTGTTTAATAGAATAAGAAGAGGAATGTAGATAGTAAGTCTTACACCCCTTCAGATGCTGCGCATCCCATGTTCATGCAGCATCCAATGGAGCCCAGGTGGATTTTCCCGTGGTGCACTGTGCAGAGCAGATCCTGTCCATGGAGAGAAACTCTCCATTTTCTGGACATTGGAGCTATTATATAATTTCCTCACAAGAAAACAACTCTTCCTAAAAGATGTTCTCATGAGAACTTCTTGCTCCATTTTGAGGTACAGACAAGGCAATGCAGATGGTATAATCACTGGTACCAAGTGAGAGCTGCCTGCAGGCTCCTCTGTTACAGTAAGCTGGCTGACTTTATCCTGCAGCCAAGGAATTTGTGCAGCCACGGCACAGGCCTTTACTTACGCAGGGGAAGTGTTATGTGGATCACTAACTCCTGCCCGTGCAATGGTCTCTTACCAGGATCAATACATTCTATTGATCCACCTACAGTTTACCTTTCCCAAAGACATTTTAAGTCATAGATTACATTAATAAGACAGAGGCTTCTTAAGCCCAATAGAGTGGACGTAGCCTGTTCAAGACCACTAACTCCTCAACCATAATGTCTTCTGCAAGACTCCCAATACAGCATGTATGATTTAAATATATCTGTATCAACTCAGCAACAAAATCATGTGTGGTAATAGGAACACTCTTGCGTCAAGAGAACTATGACTACACCAGTGATTTTTCAACCTGAAGTTTGCACATAAACAATTTCAGTGACAATTGTTAGTGCAGTCAGATGTGGCAGAAAATAGTTTCACACTATGAAGTGATGTTAAGTCTTTACATAAAATGGGTCTCAGAGAGATATATATATATGTATGATCACTTACAGTTAAGCCTTTCAAAAGCTTGTACATCAGGAGAATTGATCTATTACATCAGTCAAATCTGTGTTATCCTGAGACATGTGTCTGTATCTACTGATTATTTCACTTCAGAAAGTACTGTGAGCTATAAAGGCCTCACAATTCCCTGCAGACCTTTCATGGAGCTGGGTAGCTTCTCATAGTCACCTATTAGTGTTCAGAACAGCTCTACAGTGTTTAGTGCTCTTCTGGACAGTAGATCCAAATGGTCTTTCTGAGTGGATGTGTGGGTAACAGGAAAAGAAACTTTGCTTCTAGATTCTTATATCATCTTTGGTCATAGAAACATTCTGCAATATCTGAACAGTGCAAGTTGCTGACTGAGGTGTACAGTGGAATTACCTGTTCTTACCAGTTTGTGTACTGTTGCATAGTTGCGTGTTGCTTAGTGTGTCTTCTTACTTGGAAGTGCTAAAACATTTATGAACTGAGAACAGAAGCATGTTAATATTTCATGTGACTTAGGGATGTTTTTCAGATGAAATGGATATTATAAATATCTTGGGTTTAACCAAATAATAAGGACAGGATCTAGGTCAATCATACTGTCCCTGTATTTTGCAGGGACACTATGCAGGTTCAACTAAGATTTTTATTTGTTATGATATATTAAAAATGCCACATCAGTAGCTTCCAGTTACACAGTGTAACCTAAATTTTACTGTAAAGTTTTGAAGCAAATTGCTTGAGCTTACTACTATCTATATTTGTATATAGGTATATATACAAACTCTCTGAATTAGGGAGATCTTAAACTTTTTTCTAAATTGTGTTCCTTCTTGCACCAGAAGTATTTTGCTGGATTTCAATCTCTCAGTCTTTATCTGAGATCTTTCACATCTTACCCATTATGCCCTGGTGTTTAATTACATGCCAGTATAATTACTTGAAGGAAGCAGAACTAATAGGAATGCTATTTCTATTTATAGAAACACTTTTCTGACCCATATAATTATGTTTATAAATACAGTCTCACCACAATATCTGCAGCTGTTTAGTATTCCCATTTCTCTAGATCATTGCAATTCAGCCATTTGATTATAGTAGAAAGTATACAGAGATTAATTAAATGTTTTTAATTTCCAGTCTGCCTGACAAGAAGGATCTGTTTAATCCTCTTAGCAATAGCAACCAGAATTAAATGTATCTTACACTGGAGAAGTGCCCCCAGAAAGTTTATTATTACATCTCAACCCCACATGCAACACAGGCTGGCAGTGTGTACACATCCACATCTACTCAAGCAAATAAGCTTTGTCTGTTTTTTGTTGAAAAATGTTGAACCATTTTTATACATCTTTGTTTGCTATAGTTCAGAGACAGCACAGGTAAGAGTAAGCTATCTGGAGTTTGTTATGACTCATACATATACTGAACTGTTTACACAAGGAGTTATATAGAGGGTCAGTTTGTGGTCTCCTGAAAATAAACTAGTGAAATGAACCTAGAACTCGGTCTGGCACTTAAGGGTTTTCTGTCTTGTAAACTGAATAAATCTATATTAGGTTAGCTTACGCATGTCAGTCTGCAGCTCTTTTCAGCATAAAGTTTTTGTTGTAACACTACTGTGAAGGCCACATATCACCATTCAGTCAGAGCTGTTTCACAGGTAAGTATGTCTGGCTCAGGCTTAATGAATGCAGTGTATGTGTTACCAATCACAGACCTTTGTCTCATATTTTATACTGTGTTCAGACTACATGTGTTTGAACACCTCAGGCAAATTCATACTGTTAATTTTTGTCCCATTTTTTTAAAAAATACAGACATGATGCTGTTTATTGTTTTTGATAATTGGATGGGAGATAGGTCAGCATCTGTGCTATGCTTGGTAGGTTTTGCAGTCTTTTGGATTCAGTGTAAATTATGCATATAGGAAATACAGTGCAGTTCATGGAAGATGTTTTTCTCGGTGCTTAAAGATAAATCATCCTGACCCAAGATGCTTTTACGCTAATTCAATAAAAAAGGGAGAGGCATATGACCGGGATACGTATTTTGGCATAAAAATCCCTAACTAGTTCTCAGTTAACACTGTTTATTTGAGAGTTGGGTGGAAAGTAAAAGGCAGAAATTAAGAACCAAAATAACATTATGACCTAAAAAGCCTTATTGGTAATGCATTAATTCTGCTTGAAAGACCTAACACACTTCTGTTTTGACTAATCAGCAGGACTTGTACAGTCGTTCCTGATACTGTAATCTTGGCATTCTCTGTATAATTTATGAGTACTTTTAAAAAAAAAAAATTTGAAAAAAACCTGGGATGTCAGTGTAAGTGTGGGGAAATGCAGAGGCTGCTCCAAGGATTTCCCAATTAGAAAGGCTGTGGAAACACTGTAGTCGATTTCATATGCTTGCAATGATATGTGAATGATGACTTATTAAAGGTAACTCCTAAAGCAGAAGAGAAACCAGTCTTGTGTATGGAGAGGTGACTATATGGTCAGACTATTATGTTCTAAACTAGTTGGAGTCTCAAGTGGCATTTGAACAGTCAAAAGCAATAAAGTAGAGGACTCTTCAAGGGCAGATTGAATTAATTCTGTCTTAAGGTTTACCATTGCTGTTTAGCCTAAGAAGGAGGATGGGATATTCTTGATATGAGTTACTTCTGTGTTTTTACTTCATTTTTTGTGCTTGCTTTTGTTAGCGTACGACATTCTAGCATCAGATGCATTTAATTGATTAGGTGTTCTGATTTTTCTGTTAGCCTTGTTATCTTCCCAATATTAATGTATGTTTTATTCCTTTGTTGTCTTACTTGCCTAGTTAAAAAATGAGCCCTTTTTATGGTAAAAGTGGTGTTTTATGTTTTGTCGTATTGCTGAGTATACAGAGCTGCTGGCTTGTATATATCCAGTAACAGTGTGGTATTTTGATTCATATACTTTACTCTTCAGGTGTGTATCTGGCTTTATTAAAGCATATTTACAGCAGAAGAAAAGTGTGGGTGTTTTCCTTTTTTTTTTTTTTCCTGTTTGCTTGCATGGAACTGTGCGTGGGTTTTTCTTTGAACTGTAAAAGATTATGTTTTCAAAAATGAAGCACAAGGGGGAGCTAGTAATTCATTGTGCATGCATCCTTATTTTCCTGCTATTTGACTCCTGTGTATATGTTTCTTTTCCAATAACATCATAAAGTGCATTTGAACTGATGTGTGGGGAGTGTGTGTGTCCTGAAACAATTGGTATGTTATTTTGATCTGTAGCATCTGAAGTAATTCCTGAAGTACTTAAATTCTAGCCCTGCTTGCCATAGTGTGCAATTCATTTGACTCTCAACTAAAATTATGATGAATGTGGCTCTAATTTTTTTTACTGTACTGATTATTTGAAGGCATCTTAAAATAGGTCAAGGAATGTTAGTGTAAAAAATCTAGTTTACCTTGTAGACTAATGCTTTTGAAGACCAGTTGTTCGTAATAGATGTATACCTTGTCAGTGCTGGCATTACTCTTGAGGAAACCCTCCACGATGCATGGAAGATTGAGGAAATTTCTAAAGCTTCCATGAGAAATCCTTAGCCAGTGAAAAATCACTCTGAAAAATACTCAGTGCCAGCTGATTTCCCTTAGATTAAAAAAATGTTTGGTGTGCATTACTGCTCATGCATTGCAAGCAGAGATGTGTGAGTTCATTCAGTGTGTGGTGTTGTCACTATATAATGGGTAAAGATTTAAAAGTAACCGTTGTAACTATGAATCAAGTGCTGTTATAGGAGAAGCCCTAGTGATTTTAAGGTCACAAAAATTAAACTTGGGTGTTTTTGATGTGTGGGCATATATACTGCAACTAAATCTGTGGGGGCCATTTTTGACAATTTTTGAGCTGCTTTTATCTTCAATGTGTTCATTTTGTTTTCCAAGGAGCTAGATGGATGTCAAAGTCAGAGTATGTACATATGCAAACTTGGTGATGTATATGAGGAATAGTTCCTTTTTCAAAAATAGTGCCAAACTGTTATCTCTTGTAACTAAAACTTTTGAATAAAGGTTACATTTACACTCTTATTTCCAATATTCTTCTCACAGCTAATACCAAACAGCACTGTCCTTGTAACCACATTCTCCTAAGATACAAGGAAAGTAAGAGAATGTCTCTCATCATTTGTCTTGCAGCACACAGTTATGAACTATGTATTTTGTTCTGCTTAATTAGAAGGTTTTTTTCCCTTCTTCATAGAAGACACTTATCATAACAAATTAACAACTGCTTGAAGAAAAAAAAAAAGATCTGCTTTGCTTAGCTTCAGTATAATTTAACAGAAGCATATCCATTTACTCAGTTAATTGTTGTCAGTGAACCTTACGGTCTTGAGTCCGTCTGTGAAAATACTCTTATGTTCCCAGCTGAAGAATAATCCTTGCTCTAAATGGATGGACCATCAGTTAGATGTAGTTTGACTTGAAAATGGAGATTGGTAGTAGTAGTAATAGCAAGAGCAGAGTGTGATCCACTTCTCTTTTATAGTGCAAGCAGGATCTGAGACTGGGAATTCAGATGTAAAAGTAATCTTTCTTGATATGCAGTGTAGACAACTGGAAATGGCCGATGTCAAGTAGACTTGTTTCACTGGGTCTGTAGCCATAAATGTGTATCTATAGAAGCAGGCCTTTTAGCCACTTTATTTTTGTTAGTGGAACACAGCTTCTCATTCCTATTTCTCTGGGCCTAGGCAGTCTGAAATCTGGTTCCTCTCTAAGACTAAAATGGCATTAATAAACCATGTTGAAAAGAGAGAGAATCAAAACCAGGTGTTTAACTTCTTCCATATTGGAGATTTAGGGTTTGAATTTAGAATTGCAAAAAAAAAAAATTACATACAGTGACAACTTAGTATTATTAAACTCACATTGTGACAAAACAGCCTTGAAACATATAAAACTGAGATTAAAATTGCCCGCAAGTTGCAGCTTACTTACTAGTCATTAATAAATGATCTGTAAATTATTACAGAAATGTCTTTTAATTTCGAGGACTTTAAGCTCTCAAACTCAAGCATGTGTTCAACTTAGAGATCTTGACACATCTCATCTAAGTCAGTAGGAGTTATGCCTTGCATAAAAGGGACTGTGCTTATACCTCCCAAAGACTGGAGTCTTTTGTTGGCACTCACCACAAGCACATGGTGACTGGCATTCAGGAGCTTTGGGAGCGCAAGTACAGCCAGCTGTCTGTTATCTGGCTAACTGGGGGCTGGGTTGTTCTTAGGGTACCAAAACCTGCTAACGTGAGTACTGAGGAATCTGTTACAGAAGTACCCAGAGCAGCGTAACATCCAGTCCCTCTTCAGCAGAGATCATTGGTGGTTGGACTTCAGCAGCTGCTTGGATTTTTCTGCTTTGTGTGCTTACATTCTTGATTCAGGGAGAAGGGTTATTTGCCTAGTACAAACTGCTGGATTTTTCTAAATTTATGTGGTGGTATGCCTGACAGGATCAGCTGGTGTGGCGTTAAGACAGCTGCCTTTTCCCTTGGTCCATCCTGAATTCAGCAGGTCTAAACCAGGTGAAAGCTGCTGTACTGTTGCTGGAAGCTGTAATGCTGACAAACTTGCATGATGCTGACAGATTGCTTTGCATATGTGTCTCTGTGTAGCAAAATTAGCAGTAATCTGGTTGACCAGGAGATGCCTGCAATGCAGTAATTGTTAAAAATTATAATAATAATAATGAAAAAAACTAGCTGATTTTTGCTTAATAATTTGATTCTAATGGAATGGGAAGGAACACTTTAATCACAGCTGAGAAAATTGTAGCATAGATGATGTTACTGGTTTTTCAAGATGCGGCTATTGTTTAAAGCTGTGTGACTTTCAGCAGAGTTATAACATAAACTGACTTGTGCATACAGTTTTGCCCTCTAGAGATAACATACTGTTGACATAATAATGTTAATGACACAATTTTCTATAGATGCTTATAAAGCATCTATAGATGCTTTTATATTATATTTTAATATAGATGCCTTAAAATCTGCCCAGTGTGTATTTTCTGTATTTGCTTTTGTTAAACCTCACACCTAATGGAACTATTGAGTTTCTGTTAAAGCTTCACCTCTGGCTTTTTTTTCCCTCTTTGCAGGTATTTGTGGAAACACTAGACAAATGTTTTGAAAATGTCTGTGAACTGGATTTAATTTTCCATGTAGACAAGGTACTGTGATGAGCTCCTGTAATATTTCTTGTCAAGTAAAATGTTTGGTTCAACTGATACTTGGTATTAAACTCTGCAGTGATTCTACTTTTGTTGTCAGTGAAATCTAGACAGTTTCTATGAACATAATATTTTTAAGACTTGAAAGCTATGGAGGGACATGTCTTTCTGAGGCAAACTAAATAATGTGTGAGATTTACGTAGTGTTACTGCACATATCATTGTCGAATTGGAGACATCTGAATATTCTCAGAGAAGGACTTAGTTTCAAGAGATAATTTGTTCTATTTTGTTTATGGTTAGGTGTTATGTTACTCAGAACTGAAATTGTTACAGGGTTTTCTAGTTAAGGTTGGCTGTTGCCTTTCAAATGCTATGATTATGTAATTGAAATGCTGTGTGGATCTTTCTCTTCTAAATCTCAAGCAGACATGATGTCTTTTTTCAAACATGTAGAAACTATCTTGTTTGAATATTCCCAGCTATCAGGAACAAGTGTTTTATTTCTTAATCTAGTTTTAAGAAATTATATTACTATAGTAATCTTAATTTAAAAGAACATTGGCACTTCTTGGTATAATACCTAACATGCTGAGAACTGAATACACAGAATTTATTCCTTCAGTTGCATTTTGTGCCTACTGTTGCTTTCTGTGCAGTCACCTTTCCCTGTCTGTGAACAACTTTGCAAAAAACACATAGGGAAAATAAGACAAAAATCACTAAAAGTAGACTACAAACACTAACAAGTTAAGTATCTTCAATAACTATTTGGAACTGACTCTGTTTCAAAATCAGGAGGTTCTTTTGGAATAATTGTTTGTACCTTGACCAGACAGTGAAATGCAAACGACCTTGAGTAGGTGTTTGAACTGACACTGTGCTCATGACAAGTCATTAGGATTTCTAGCCTGTATGGAGTATGTTGGCTGTTTCCAAAAGAGCAGATTAAACCACTCAAATTCTTTTTTACTTTATATATTGGCTTCTGAGCTTAAAGAACCCAAGTACTGCAATCATTTTGTGGCAAGGAGTTTGATCTTTATCTTTAGCTGCAGAATACTTTGGCTGCTATGCAGTCCAAGCTGTTGCTTTAGCATGTTTCATTCAGTAGCATTACTTAACATAGATAGTCTTTTACATTTTATAGGAGAAACATCTTTCTAATAAAATGTAGAGAATTTAGGTGCTTCAAACTGTTACATTTCTTGAAGAATAAGTTACTTTGTATTGCCTATGAGATTATATTTTCTTCTTGAAAGCTATTTGTCAAAGGGGAGATCAAATTTAAGTGTTTAATTTGATTTACTAAAAAACTGCATGAGAATCCCATTTAATGTTTAGGCCAGAATTTTCAAACTCTGAGGAAAATGTGAACCATGAATACTAATTAGATATTTTAGTAAACTAAAATTTTTTTTTAACATGGAATTAACTAGTGCAGTGATTTTTTTTTTAACGAGCATAAGTTGACAAAAGAATACAATACAGAAAGCTGAACTTCTGCAGTAATGCAAGGCTACTACCAGCAATACAGTAGCATTAGTTGTGCAGTTGTGATTAATCTGATGTCATCTCTATTCTTTCTTGTGTTTGTTTTGCTTTTCCCCTCCTGTGTAATTGCTTTGTAAGACTTAACTGTATACCATAACATAGGATCAAACCATTTGATTTGGTACAGTTTAAGTTCATTAGTATTCTTGTAGATCTGTAATTAAAAAAACCCAGGAGTACGTATCTGTGAGATTACATCATTAAATTCTCTTTAAACTGCTGATGAGGTCACCTTGTCAAGAAGCAAAATGCATTGAGTCTTCTGAGTTACAACACATTCACTTTCTCTTGTCAGATATTTGTGACCTGGCTTGTTAATAGATTTCAAGTGTCCGATAGGGAAAAACAGCAACTGCTGCTGTATGTTTGGTCTAGAGAGAGTCTTAGTTATAGTGAGTACTTACATGTGGGAGCTGTTTGGGGTGAAACATTTCAAATATTTGTATTTTGAGTGGTCTGGTGTTGAGAAAAGTGAGGACTAATTGATTTGGATGAGAGTTGATCTGTGTCTTCAGTTCTTGATGGAGTTGCAGAAGGTCACTTTCCTCCAATCCTCTTGCTTCAACTGCCTAAAAACCAAGAAATACCTTGTAAAAAAATGATGTAGCATGTGAAAGAGTTAAACTATGTAATCTCAACAGCTGTTGCCTCTTTAGTAGCATTTTATGTGGCATTTCTGTAAGGAAACATTTACCTTCATCAGGCAGCCATCGTTGTAGAGGACTCAGTGATGGCTTACAGTAATCTGGAGCCAAGAGAGATGCTTATTCAAGAAGAATATTGGTATAGTACTAGAAATTCATTTGGAGAATGGAATATAGATGGGAATGAGACAGTGTCTCTTACGTGCTGTAGCAGATGGGCACTTGAGATGTTGGGGAGTGTAGTTTGTACAGGAGAGAACTGGGCTTCTCTTTTACAGATCAGCTGTGTTAAAAACAAACAAACAAACTTGCTATAGCTGGAGCAAAACACTTTCCAGAGGAAGAGGTTTATTTCAGTCCTGTACTGATTCCTACACTGAGTCCAGGAGTGTAACACTTTCTGATGGAAAAGATGTCACAGAACGCTATCATAAGCATCTTTTACAACTAAAATACTAAAATACATTCAGTTAGGGTTGTAAGGAAATACTTCCATTTTTCCACAAGTTTTTGGCACCTGTTGAAATATCACTGGGAGTATCATGATCTCTTCCAAGAGTTTATTATCTGACCAGAACGGTGAACCTTCTAGAATCAGATTGCAGCTTGAAGACAAGAAAATGTGTTTGCCAAATTTTCCTGGGAGTTTTCTCTTGATGCATTCCTTCTCCACATTTGTTAAAGCACACATTACTGCTTTTAGACGGCGCATAGAACAGAAGTAGGAAGCACTCCTGATTTTTGTAAAAACACCTCAGAATTATTATTATAAAAATAGCAATTTTACATTTTGAAAAGTTGGTGTTCTCAAAAGCTGGACTTATTTTAGAACATAAATGTAAGTGGTGTTTGCCATGTGCCTTCAGTCTTTCACTGAAACACTGTTTTGAATACACTGTTGAAGTCTATTTTGCACTTCATTGTCACTTAAATTTTTTTTAATTCATAAATTTTTTTGTTTCTTTAGGAAAAGAATTAGTGACTTTTTCAGTAGAAAAGTAGAAAAAAATAATCTGTATTTGTTAATTCAATATGTACTTGCAATGAAAAAGAAAAAATAGTTAATATTAAAAATGTATGTTTTGCTACTGCTCATATCTGGGTAAACTTTTGCTAGTACTGTTTTATTATACTGCCTCTTGCTGGCAGCTATTAAGCAATATCTCTGCATCTTCTACCAGGTTTGAAAAAAATCTAAACCAAAAACAAATAAATTAACAAAATGGTCCAAAACCAAATCCAGTCCACAGGCAGTTGCACATGCTTTCCGTATTTTAAAACGGTATGCAAAAATGCTACTGCATGTGCTGTAAATTCATAGTGGAAGGCCATGTGTCACTAAGTAATAGGTTCAGTGATGTCTGGTATCTCTTTGAATCCAAGTAATGATAGAGAACATTAATATTAATGATATTGTTTTCTAAAACTTTTGGAGATTTGTTTGGATGCCTGTGGTCCTTCCACAGTTACTCTTTAAAGCATTTACTACATGTGAGAAGTAGTAAGTGTTAGAATGTTCCTGAGCAATTTCATAATATGGCTATTATAAAGTTGGCTAATGCAAAACCATTGTATGCAATGAATTGATCTTTCCTAATTTCTTATATATGTATACATGATTTTTGTTTTCTTTCCTATTCATATGTATGAATAGGAGAGACACTAGGTACAAAAGACAGACACTTTTGGACAATTAATATTGCTGACATGTGCATCACACTTAAATTGTCACTAATTATCTACATCTATCTTTTTCCAGAAAGTTTGATTTCCTGTCCGTAATGGATAGAGAAAATTTCTGGCTCTGAAGCATTGAAACTCTCTCCACATCATGAATTAACATGTTTTTACAATAAAATCCTAAGATAATTCACTTACAGGCCTTGAGAGGTGCCTGGTAGCAGAGGCTGCTCCCAGCAGGATCAGCCATGGGGGCAGGC